ATTTTGTTCTCCAGATTATTCCCATACCTCCTAGTTATCAAATTCAAGGCCTTTTCTTAAATCTTCAATCTTGTAATCTCTGGCACTGAGCACTCCATACCACCTGCTTTTATTTCTTGGGTTGTTTTGTTTTGTTTGAGACAGAGTCTCACTCTTTACCCAGGCCAGAGTGCAGTGGCATGATCTTGGCTCACTGCAACTTCCGACTCTAGGGATCAAGCGATTCTTCTCCCTCAGCCTCCCAAACCACTGGGACTACAAGCACTCGCCACCACACCCGGCTTTTTTTTTTTTTTTTGTATTTTTAGTAGAGACGTTTTCACCATGTTGGCTAGGCTGGTCTGAAACTCCGGACCTTAAGTGATCAGCCCGCCTCAAACTCCCAACACCTGCTTCTTTTTGAAACTTTTTCTTTTTGGGTTTTCAGTGCTTCTCCTCCCTCTCCTCCTCCCCTTTTCCTACTTTTATCTTTTCCTACCTCTTTGACCATTCCTTCTGTCACTCTGTCTCTTTGATGTACTGTTTCTAAGGCTGTGCCCTTTGCCTCTATTCTCTTAGCCTTTGTTTCTGTGCAATCTCTAGACTATCACTTTGTGATGTTTCCCGTGTCATTTTCTCTAGTACTAATTTTTCTTTCTCTTTTTTTTTTTTTTTTTTTTGGTATTTTAGTATAGAGACAGGATTTCACCATGTTGCCCAGGCTGGTCTCGAACTTCTGAGCTCAGGCAATCTGCCCGCCTTGGCCTCCCAAAGTGCTAGGATTACAGGCGTGAGCCACTGTGCCTGGCGTAGATCTAGTACTAATTTTTCTGTGGATTTCCGAGCCTGTAATTCCTGGCCTGGATTTCTATCACTTTTAGGACATCTCCAGACTCTCAAACACAGACTAAACTCATTTCCTTCCACTTCCAACTTCTTTCCCCTTTTTCTTTCCTATTTATATTAATAGCATTCCATGCTTCTGTCCATAGCTCTCACATTGTCACAAAGTTCTGTAAATTGTCTCTTAAAGTTTGTCTTAAATCAGTTCCTTCTTCCTCTTTGCCTTAATTCAGATTATAATAATCTCTCATCCTAGTTTCCCCACTAAAGTGATCTTTTTAAAAACTATAAAGTCATGTGACACATCTATGTCTGTTCTATTCTGTTTTGTTCCCAAGAACTCTGTAGTTTGAATTTCAGTCTCTGAAGAAAACATTTAAGGCCTTTCACACGCATATCCAGTCTCATTTCCTGCATCCCCACCCAACAAACTTGGCCCTGGCAACCTACATAGAACATCTTGTAGAAGCACACCATGACTTTTCACTCTGTGTTTTCCTTCTGCTCTGCTTATCACACTGCAATTTTCCCCCCAACTTTGTATTTTGGATCTCAGGTTCACAGGACTGAATTATTCACATGCCGCAGTTCATGGCATACTATTACAATTGGCCCTTCCAAAGTCCTTCACTTGTTATTGATCAATGTATTCCTTTTATCCTTATTCCCATTTCTCCTAGACTGTAACTTACTCATGTGTTTAATGACTATGCTTTCTTATATTTTCCTGTAAAATAAGTAGTACTTTTAATTTCTATAAATGGTATTATGTTATAAATTTTATTTCTTACTTTTTTAACTTAGAACTGCTTTCGAGTTCTCTCATGTTGCTACATCTATTGCTTCTGATTGCTGCATTGTACTCTATGCTGTGCATCCAGCATATTTTACCTATCTACTCCCTTGATAATAGACACTATGAATGTTTTATGCATGACCTCTTGGACACTGGATCACTACCTAAAAGCAGTTCTCAACCCTGTCAGGCTCAACAATCTCCCTTAAATATTAATAACAAATACAATGTCTCCATTATTGTGCAGCGAAATTCAAAAATAATATAATTGACCGTGGTAGGTGGCCTCTCAGAAAGCCCCCAGTGATCTCCAGCTCAATATTCTTGCCCTTATGTAATCCCCTCTCCACGAATTTGGGCTGCACTTTTTTTCTTTTCTGAGACAGAGTCTCACTCTGTCGCCCTGGCTAGAGTACAGTGGCGCCATCTCAGCTCACTGCAGCCTCCGCCTCCCGGGTTCAAGCAACTCTCCTGCCTCAGCCTCCTAAGTAGCTGGGATTACAGGTGTCCACCACCACGCCCGGCTAATTTTTGTATTTTTAGTGGAGACGGGGTTTCACCATGTTGGCCAGGCTGGTCTCGGAACTCCTGACCTCGTGATCCGCCCACCTCCGCCTCCCAAAGTGCTGGGATTACAGGCGTGAGCCACTGCACCCCACCTTAGCTGCACTTTTAGTGAATAGAATAGGGCAGAAATGATGGGATGTCACTTCCAAAATTAGGTAACAAAAAACCTGTGAGTTCTGTCTTCTGGGTTCTCTCACTTGTGTCCTCTGGAGGAAGGCAACTGGCACATTGTGAGCTGCCCTATGGAGTGGATTACATGGAAGGAACTGAGGGAGGCCTCTGGGCAACATCGGTGAAGAACTGAGGCCCTTATTCCAACAACCTTGAGGAACTGAAACCTTCAGCAACCTGTGAGTGACTCTGGCAAATTCTCCTCCATCAACACTTGAGGTATGACTGTGGCCCCAGCCAACATCCTGACTGCAACAGGAGGGACCTTGAGCAACAGGCACCCAGCTAAATTGCACCCACATTGCTGACCCACAGAAACTGTGTGATAAATATTTGTTGTAAGTCACTAAGTTTTGGGGTGATTTGTTATACAACAATAAATAACTAATATATCTACCTACTCACATAATTTTGAAAATAACATAATACCCTAACAGGATCCAGTGATCCAGTGTCCAGGAGGTCAGGCATAAAGGTAATATAAAGTAAAGTAAAAATAGTAACATATGTTTCTTTTTCTTTTTTTTTTTTTGAGATGGAGTCTCATACTGTCGCCCAGGCTGGAGTGCAGTGGCAGGACCTCTGCTCACTACAAGCTCCGCCTCCTGGGTTCACACCATTCTCCTGCCTCAGCTTCTCCAGTAACTGGGACTACAGGTGCCCACCACCATGCCCAGCTAATTTTTGTTGTATTTTTTAGTAGAGACAGGGTTTCACTCTGTTGGCCAGGTTGGTCTCAAACTGTATCAGGTGATCCGCCCGCCTCGGCCTCCCAAAGTGCTGGGATTACATGTGTGAGCCAGCGCGCCCAGCCAACATATGTTTCAATATATAAACACTCGAGCACTAGGGGGTATAATGAAGATTTCAGATGCTTGTACCTATATGTAGAATTACTTTGAATGCAGACTGATTTGAGTGAGTATTGTCGACCTAAAAGGAAGAAGCTGAGGCAAAATTAATATAGAGACTTTATTTGGGCCAGACTTGAGGATTGCAACTCAGCAGCATAAAGTGGCCCGGAATACACTCTAAGATTAGCAGCAGGTACAAGTGGATTTTTAAAGGAAAAGAATGAGGACAGGGAGTGGGCTGACACAAAGTTGTCCTTAAGGAATTCTCATTGGTTTACAAAAATAACATTGATTAGTGATTGGCTAAACATTATCAAGCTATAGGGTGTGGGATATAGTGTCTGGTGGGGCATAATTAGGCTAATTTATAACTAATACTTGTGGAATGGCAAGCAGTTTTAAGACATAAATACATAGCTCAAAAGGGGGCAAGTAGGATGTGATTGCCTCTCATTTTAACGCCTCTCAGGGCCTAATAATTTAACTCACATTCCTCAAATCAAAGTTCTTTTTTCAGTATTCACTATTCAAATTATTACAAGTGATGTTGCTTTTGGTGACGTTATTTCTTGAAATGGTACACAACTCTTAATGAATTTCAAACAAAACAATACAATTACTATTCAATTTTGGGGCAATAACATTCCTAGAAAATTCAATGTACATTAAAAGTGTGGGAAAATGCTTTGTGTTTATTAACAAAGATAGGTTCAAGCCTCACATAACTACTTTTCACTCACCGAATGTTCAGCAGGACATTCAGAAATCGTGTGTATTACGGGATTTTCTTTATGTAGCATCATCTGTTACACTGTAGGACACATATTTTATATCCCTAGCTCTGGCCTTCCAATGCCTGTGGTTTTCCCAACCATTGTTCCGACCAAAACCCTTCCCCAATGGACACGGTGGCTCACACTTGTAATCTCAGCACTTTGGGAGGCTAAGGGGGGCAGATCGCTTGAGGCCAAGAGTTTCAGACCAGCCTGGACCATGTGGCGAAACACCATCTCTACTAAAAATACAAAAACTAGCTGGGCATCGGTGGTGTGCGCCTGTAATCCCAGCTACTTGGAGGCTGAGGTGGGAGGATGGCTTGAGCCCAGCAGGTCTAAGCTGCAGTGAACCCGGATTGTGCCACTTCACTCCAGCCTGGGGGACAGTGAGGCTGCGTCTCAAAAAAAAAAAAAAAAAAAAGGCCGGGCATGGTGGTGCACGCCTGTAATCCCAGCTACTCGGGAGGCTGAGGCAGGAGAATCGCTTGAACCCAGGAGGCAGAGGTTGCAGTGGGCCGGGATCGCGCCACCGCACACTCCAGTCTGGGCGACGAAGTGAGACTTGGTCTCAAAAAAAAAAGAAACCTTCACAAAATTTTAAATGCTTAGTCTTGGGACACCATCTCTTGGAAATTTGTGGTGAAGCACAGTATCCCCAATAATTAACACAGTGCTTAGAAACGGTGGAACCACAAATCTTTAAAATGATTTAAAAGCATTTGTGTCAGATAAAGCACCGCTGGCTAGCCCTCCTACGATCCATAGCTTCGCAGTCCCCAAACAGGAAGCCGTGATTCAATACACAGTAGCAAATTTAGGGGTGACACGCCACCTAGCCCGTGATTTCCTTTTCTTTGTTAGTTTTCAATTCCTTCAGGGTTACAGGGAGGAGCTCCGGCCTCCTCCGCTAAAGACTGTCGCATTTCCGCCGCTAGGCCGGAAAGCACCACTGTCCTTCCGCAGGCCTCAGTCAGCTAGGCCCAGCTCCAGCCCCGCCCGTCACCGGAAGTGAGGCGGCGGAAGTGGCGTAACCCGCTGGGAGCCTGCCGGGGGTACGCTGTGGGTTGGCGGGCCAGTGGGTTGGCGGGCCAGTGGGATGGCAGATGAGGAAGAAGACCCCACCGTGAGTGACCGTCTGTGTCCAGACCCTCTCTTTTCTTCACTCCTTCGGGCTCAGTAGCGGAGGCAGAGTTCAGGATCGGATCTGCTTGCCTTAGTCAATTCAGCCGACAGAATTCGGGGACTTCACTCCCTAAGGATTGATCATTTTAGAAAGTGGGGAAGGACATGAAGGAAGAGTAGGTTTTGTGACCCCTTTCCCCTTGATTTTGGTCTGTATTTGCCAGACACTGAAACACGTACAGAATCATCAGAGGTCAAAACTAACATCTATTAGCGCTCACTATGAACCAACAGTTCAATTGTTAACAAAACTGTACTTACTGTGAAGTAGTGGGAAAAGAACGCATTGAAAGTCAGATAGCCTGGATTTCAAAATCTCTATTCTCTCTAAGCAAGTTATTTAACTTTGAACATCAGTTTTCTTGTTACAAAATAGGGTTACGGGCTTACCTAAGGAACGTTTTTAGCACTGTATATGCAAATGCTTAGTAAATATTAGTTTTGCTTACTACAAAGTCTACAAAGGTAGACTTTGATTCAGTATCAACTGTTTAACAGTAACAGTAGCAATAGGCCACCTTAGTTGTTTAAAAATAAAACCTATGGTCATTAGAACTCTTACACGTAGAAGCAGTAGGAATATTTGTTAGGAACATTGTAGAAGCCATTTTTGGATGAGTTGGAAGTTGGACTAGATACATAGGCTCCTTCAGTGCTAACGTTTTGTGGTTTTTTTTTTTTTTGTTTTTTTGTTTTTTCCTGCTTCCTTTAGGCTTTCTGGCCTATCTGTTGAAAAGGAAAAAACATTGTTATTATTAAAATATCAAATGCAAGGCAATTATTTGACATTTCTATATATACATTTTCTAGTTTGAGGAAGAAAATGAAGAAATTGGAGGAGGTGCAGAAGGTGGACAGGGTAAAAGAAAGAGGCTTTTTTCTAAAGAATGTAAGTAGTATTTGACAATGATTTTGTTATAGATGATGAAAAGTTTTGGACATATCCTTTCAAAGTACATTTATTGCTTTGAATGTTTCCCTGTAGTGACAATATTCTCAGACTAGCCTATCAAATTCTGTTTAACTTTTGAATCAGATAGTACCAATCCTAACCCCAATTATATGTGTGTGTATGTGTGTCTGTGTATAAATTGCTTTTTAAGTGAGCAAATGTAGTTCGTGTTTTAATTTAGGGCAGAAGAACATACCTCCATTAGTTTTCCTCTTGCCTTTGCAGCAGTAGAAACAGAGGCTTCTTTGACTGTAAGCCACAGATACTAATGGATCCTGCAACAGGTGTTGAGGGAGAGTAGCAAGTGAGTTGGGGCTTGGGCTTTGGACTAAGGCTATGAACAAAGTAAGAAGATGGTGAACAGCTGGGTGTAGTGGCTCACGCCTGTAATCCGAGCACTTTGGGAGGCTGAGGCAGGTGGATCACTGGAGGTCAGGAGTTTGAGACCAGCCTGGCCAATGTGATGAAACCCCGTCTCTACTAAAAATACAAAAATTAGCCAGACGTGCTCGCTTGAACTCAGGAGGGAGAAGTTGCAGTGAGCCAATATTATGCCACTGCACTTCAGCCTGGGTAACACAGCAAGACTCTGTCTCAAAAAAAAAGGAAAAAAAAAAGAAGGTGGTGAATAGTGTAAGACATTAGAGTGACATGGAGGCTAGATGCAGTGGCACACGCCTGTAATCCCAGCACTTTGGGAGGTCAAGGCAAGCAGATCGCTTGAGCCCAGGAGGTCAAGACCAGTCTGGGCGACATAGTGAAACCCTCTCTCTACAAAAAATACAAAAATTAGCAGGGCATGGTGGCACGCCCCTGTAGTTCCAGCTACTCTGGAGGCTGAGGTGAGAGGATGGCTTGAGCCCAGGAGGTGGAGGTTGCAGTGAACCCAGATTGCGCCACTGCACTCCAGCCTTGGTGACGGAACCAGACCCTGTGTCCAAAATAAATAAATAAATAAACAAAATAAATAATGACATGGAGATTATAATGTATTGATTCTGCATCCTACTCCCTTAGTAGATGCTTTTGACCCTTTTTGGCAACAAGAGGAAGGGAGAGCTGCTGCTACTACTGATGGTACAGGCCAAGCCCTGGAACACAGCATGAGAATGTGCTCTCCATCTCCCAGTCCTGGGTCCTTTATGTAAAGTTATATCTAAATATTGAGAGATGAGGCAACACAGATTTATGAATATGGTTTATTTAGGCTGGGTTATATGTGAGCAGTTCCCAAATGCCCTTGAAACTACAGGGTCAGTATATCTTTTTTTTTTTTTTGCAGTTAACTGGGCATGGTGGCGTGTACCTATAGCCCCAGCTATTCAGGAGGCTGAGGTGGGAGGATCACTTGTGCCCAGGAGTTAAAGGTTGCAGTGAGCTGTGATCATGCCACTGTACTCTAGCCCCAGTGATAGAAGAGTGAGACCCTGTCTCGCCACCATGCCCCGGCTAATTTTTTGTATTTTTAGTAGAAACGGATTTCCCCATGTTAGCCAGGGTGGTCTCAAACTCATGACCCAGATGATCTGCCTAACTCGGCCTCCCAAAGTGCTGGGATTACAGGCCCGAGCCACCATGACCAGCCATACCCAGCTAATTTTTGTATTTTCAGTAGAGACTAGTTACACCATGTTGGCCAGGCTGGTCTCAAACTCCTACCCTCAAGTGATCCTCCTGCCTCAGCCTCCCAAACTGCTGGGGTTACAGGCATGAGCCACCACACCCAGCCAGACACTCTTATTTTTTAACCATCCAAATCCTTTTCCATATTTCGTTTCCTCACTAAAGCTGACCATTTCTTATTTCATTTCTCTGATGCTCCTTATACCATTATGTGGTTTTACTTATTATATCAGCATAAGAATGGGATCCTTGTACCAGAGCATCCCAGAGTGATGTTCAGTTGGTTGTTAGCAAAGACCTTTTTTCCAGTGAGATTAGTTTGTGATGACAGGAATTTGGAATCTTCAGGCTTCTCCTTATCTTAACTGAATATTCATAGAGGTTACTGACGAAAGATCTGTTTCCTGAACCTTAAAAAAAAAAAATTTGCAGGAGACTAGGTACAGTGGCTCATGCCAGTAATCCCAGCACTTTGGGAGGCCAAGGTGGGAGGATCACTTGAGGTCGGGAGTTCAAGACCAGTCTGGCCAACATGGCAAAACCCCGTCTCTAATAAAAATACAAATTTAGCTGGGTGTGGTGATGCGTGCCTATAACTCCGCTACTCGAGGGCCGGACACGGTAGCTCATGCCTGTAATCCCAGCACTTTGGGAGGCTGAGGTGGGCGGATCGTGAGGTCAGGAGATCGAGACCATCCTGGCTAACACAGCGAAACCCCGTCCCTGCTAAAAATACAAAAAATTAGCTGGACGTGGTGGCACATGCCTGTAGCCCCACCTACTTGGGAGGCTGAGGCAGGAGAATTGCTTGCATCCAGGAGGCAGAGGTTGCAGTGAGCCAAGATGGCGCGCTGCGCTCCAGCCTGGTGACAGAGCAAGACTGCCTCTCAAAAAAAAAAAAAAATTCCAGCTACTTGTGAGGCTGAGGCTGGAGAGTCACTGGAACCTGGGAGGCAGAGGTTGCAATAGGCCTATAGAATTTCAAAGCATTATCTGGCATTTGTTTATGCCTTTATAGACCCTTTAGCCAAATACAGTTTACATACTTCCCATATAATAAGTTTCCCTTTTCCAGTGAAATATATTTTCTCTCTGGTGAATTCTGCCCATCAAAATGTTAGTGACAAAGTATCTTCCTCGAAATATTTAAACAACAACAGTAAACTTACAATGGAGAATTCTGGAAGACACCATGTTAACCAAGTGATCAAAGCATCACTAATAATATACAGTATATTGACATTATATGATATGATGCATTAAGAGGACACATCACCTTGGTGTTCTTCCTGGTAATGTCTAACTTCAATCTAACGAGGAAACATCAAAGAAACCCAAATTGAGGGATAGTCTACAAGATAACTGACCAATATTCTTCAAAAGTGTCAAGGTTTTTTGTAAACAATGGTTTCATTTAAAAAAAAGGTGTCAAGGTTTTGAAAGATGAAAAAGTCGAGGAACTGTCAGAGAATAGAGGGAACTAAGGAGACATGACAACTAAATGGTATGGGAACCTGAGACAAAAAGGACATTGGTGGAAAAACTCGTAAAATCTGAATAAAGTCTGTACTTGTACCGATGTTAATTTCTTAGCTTTGATGACTCCCTATGGTTGTATAACATGTTAACATAAGGGGAAGCTGAATATAGGGCATATGGGAACTGTGTACTATTTTTGCAACTCAGCTGTAAATCTAAAATTATCTTTTTTTAAAAAAAGGCAAAAAAGTACGGAATCCAAAACAGAAAGATAAAAACTATTGGCTCCTGTGTTTGTTTTTTTCCTCCTGTTTCTGGACCTAAAGTCTCTTGCCAGTGTAAACCGTAGGGACATGTCTATCTCAAGCTGGTTTCCAAGTCACCCTTTTCTTCTGTAGGTCTGGCCTACTTTCTTCTCTTTGTACTTCTACTAGTTTTTACTTCTTCTAAATAGAGGGATTATTCTTAATTTACTCATTTCTTCCTTTAGAAGTATTCTACAAGTACTTTTTTTTTTTTTTTTGAGACGGAGTCTCGCTCTGTCGCCCAGGCTGGAGTGCAGTGGCGCGATCTGGGCTCACTACAAGCTCCACCTCCCAGGTTCACGCCATTCTCCTGCCTCAGCCTCCCGAGTAGCTGGGACTACAGGCACCCGCCACCATGCCCAGCTAATTTTTTGTATTTTTAGTAGAGACAGGGTTTCACCGTGTTAGCTAGGATGGTCTCCATCTCCTGACCTTGTGATCCGCCCGCCTCCGCCTCCCAAAGTGCTGGGATTACAGGCGTGAGCTACTGCGCCTGGCAGTATGTTTTTTAAAAAAATAGAACTTAGATACAATAAGTTGTGCAAGTCTTAAGTGAACAGCTTGCTGAATTTTATGTATACTATACAGTCGGCCCTCTATATCCATGGGTTCTGCATCCATGGATTCAACCAACCTCAGATGGAAAATATTCAGGAAAAAAAACCCTGTGTCTGTATTGAATATGTGCAGACTTTTTTTCCTGGTCATTATTCCCTAAACCATATAGTATAACAACTATATACGTAGCATTTGCATTGTATTAGGTATTGTAAGTAACCTGGAGATGATTTAAAATATAGATAGGAGATGATTTAAAATAAAATATAGATGTTTAGGTTGTATGCAAACACTATGCCATTTTATATCTGGGATTTGAGCATCTGAAGATTTTAGTATCCACGGGAGGTCCTGGAACCAAGCTCCCAAGGATACTAAGGGGTAACTGTATACACGTGCACACACACACACACACACACACACTTGTACGCACTACTAAGATCAAGATAATAAAAGACTTCCAGCATTTGACAGAGTTTCTTACCATTTACATATACCCCTTTGAGAATCTGATGAAAGTTATAATTATTCCCAGAAAAATGCCCATGTACAGGTAATGTATAACAGGCTGGAGAGGTGTTGCAGTCACAGCTTGCTGCAGCCTCAACCTCCCTGGCTCATGTGAGCAGCTGGGACTACAGGCACATGCTACCATGCCTGGCTAATTTGTGGGGTTTTTTTGAGACAGAAGTCTCACTGTGTCACCCAGGATGGAGTGCACACCTGTTGCTTCCTGTAAGAATGTATTTGGGGCGGGGTGCAGTGGCTCACGCCTGTAATCCCAGTACTTTGGGAGGCCGAGGCAGGTGGATCACGCCATCTCAACTCACTGCAACCTCTGCCTCCTGGAATCAAGGGATTCTCATGCTTCAGCCTCCCGAGTAGCTGGGATTATAGGCATGTGCCAATACCGCCATCTGACTTTTGTGTTTTTTTTTTTTTTTTTTGAGATGGATTCGCACTATGTCACCGTCGCCCGAGTGCAGGTGCAGTGGCGCTAGGCTGATCTCAAACTTCTGGCCTCAAATGATCTGCCTCAGCCTCCCGAAGTGCTGGAATTACAGGCGTGAGCCAACATCCTGGCCTTCGCCCAGCTAATTTTTTTTTTTTTTTTTGTAGAAACAGGGTTTTGCCATGTTGCTCAGGCTTGTCTCAAACTCCTGAGCTCAAGCAGTCTACTTGCCTGGGCCTCCCAAAGTGCTGGATTACAGGTGTGGGCCACTGCACCCGACCTAGACTTACCTTTTTCATTTCATATGGTTTCTTCAGATGAAGCCTGAAAGGGCTTTGCCAGCAGTTGTATTGATCTAGGAAATGTCAAAATTCCTTGTAGTAAGCCCTCTGCTTTCTAATTTTGATTACCCTGTTGCTTCCTGTAAGAAGGTATTTGGGGCCAGGCGCAGTGGTTCATGCCTGTAATCCCAGCACTTTGGGAGGCCGAGGCGGGCGGATCATGATGTCAGGAGATCAAGACCATCCTGACTAACATGGTGAAACCCCGTCTCTACTAAAAATACAAAAAATTAGCCGGGCGTGGTGGTGGGCGCCTGTAGTTCCAGCTACTCGGGAGGCTGAGGCAGGAGAATGACGTGAACCCAGTAGGTGGAGCTTGCAGTGAGCCGAGATCGTGCCACTGCACTCCAGTCTGGGTGACAGAGTGAGACTCCGTCTCAAAAAAAAAAAAAAAACCTATTTGGAGAACTTTCTCTCATGTCTTTTCCCCTATGGTAATATCAGTAAAGAATCTGCCTTTTTTCCAATGCCCCTCTGCCATGCCCACACACAAAAACTGCCTCCATAAAAGGCTAAGCTGTTGCTATCTGTCCTGTCCCCTGCCAGAGTTTCCTACTTAAAGGTGTTCTGCTGGGTCAGGGACTGGTAAGTAGATGATAGAGATTAGGAAAACACTGTTTACCTTAGGGTTCAGTAGCTTGGAAGAAGGAAGAGTTTGGTTGGAGGCTACATGGGAACAACTGGTCATCAGACTGTCCTTAAACCTTTTACACCAGAATCCATACTTGGAGATAACAAATACAATGCAAATATGTTTTTATACCAATATTGTCTATAACTTGGTTCCCTTCTAGTTTATTTTTTTAAAGCATTAAATTGTTAAATCTGTAAAAGTAAACAAAAGTGATTGTTCTTTTACAGTGCGATGTATGATGTATGGCTTTGGGGATGACCAGAATCCTTATACTGAGTCAGTGGATATTCTTGAAGATCTTGTCATAGAGTTTATCACTGAAATGGTAAGATACTTTCCTAACTGGTCTTACTTAATTGAAGAATAGATTTGAAATGTTAAACTTTAGGTAAGACTAGAACTTATGTCATCCCTTTGAAATAAACTATCCATTTGAGTGCTTGTTTGCAGAAGTTATTGGTTACTGTTTATCATTAAGGATGGAGGTTATACATACATATTCTATCCCCTCTTCTTCCTTTTTTTTTTTTTTTTTTTGGAGATGGAGTTTCATTCTTGTTGCCCAAGCTGGAGTGCAATGGTGTGATCTCGGCTCACTGCAACCTTTGCCTGCCGGGTTCAAGGGATTCTCCTGCCTCAGCCTCTGAGGAGCTGGGATTACAGGCATGTGCCACCACGCCTGGATAATTTTGTATTTTTAATAGAGACAGGGTTTCTGGTCTCGAACTCCCGATCTCATTTGATCCACCAGCCTTGGCCTCCCAAAGTGCTGGGATTATAAGCATGAGCCACCGTACCTAACCTCTTCCATTTTTTATAAGGACATAATTATAAAATCCTTGAATAAAATTAAAATACTACCCATAATGCCATTATCCAACATAGGTTTATTTTTTTCCCCTCCTTTTCCAGTATTTAAAGATATACAAGGTTTTTTTTGTGTATGTGTGTGTGACAGGATCTCACTCTGTTGCCCCAGCTGGAGTGCAGTGGCATGATCATTGCTTACTGCAGCTGAGACCTTCTGGACTCAAGTGGTCTTCCCACCTCAGCCTCCGAAATACCTGGGACTATAGGCATATGTCACCATGCTCTGCTTTTTTTTTTTTTTCTTTTTAATTTTTCTTTTCTTTTTCTTTTTCTTTTTTTTTGAGACAGAGTATTGCTCTGTCACCAGGCTGGAGTGCAGTGGCGTGATCTTGCCT